TTATTGGACAAATTTGACTATGGAATATTATTTCAGATCAAAGTCGATAATACCATTATTTTACAAGGAAGGCGTTTGTAATTTTTCACCGAGTATTAAATAACTAGTTTCTTTTGAACGTTAAATAACTATTTTTTCAAATTCTTTTTTGTTTCTTCAGTGCAAAATAGTAAAATATTACAGTATTTACCAGAAAGAGCTTGTACAATTACATAAAACAATTTGATCAAATTAATATCCACTCCTATAATATCAGGAGAACAGTTTCTATTGTAAAAATTTCTAGCAACATTAATAGTTGCTCGTCGTGGTTTGTTGATGATCAATCCCTTTTGCTCAATCCCCGTTACTTATGACAAATTTTTAATTCAGAGTTTTTCCTGTAGTCTTATTTCAATTATTACTTAACTTGTTGATAAAAGAGTAAGTAAGCAATGAGCAATATCATTTCCATGCAATGAAAACAGTCATGAGAGAAATGAAGGAAAGTCGGTATTGATTGATTTCTGGCTCAGCTGTTTTTTAGTCAGGCCATTCATTTGACGTGAACTAGATCCACAAAGTGCACATACTAAATTAGAAGGTAAATCTAAATTTGTGCTGCTTTGCCATCTAACTTGCCAGACAGAGTGTGTCCTTTACGATAATTTTTTAAACTTCTTTATAATTGAATCCGGATTTTTGGAAATGATTGGATTTTTTATATCATCCCCATAGCTTTAGTTTTTTTAGGAGTTTCTTTGTAAAATTCTATTGGATAGTACTAGGTTGACATGAATGAAATGACACTGGCACCAGATTTTGCCAGGACATATAATCCGTTATTAAATTAATTATTTTGATAGCGAGTAAAGATGAAGTAAAATAATTTGCGTCAAAAATATTTTAGACCTATCTGGAAGGTTTTATTTGTAATTACTTTAACAATATCTATTCACTAAATTAATCTAGATGGCCAAATATATTATTATACTGATTTGTAGATTGAGTACAGCAGTATTTTTTCTTTTTTTCGGTATTCTGATCAGTCCTCATAAGATATACAGGGTTTTCACGATTTTCAGAAAATTTCGATGGTGTCAAATCAAGCGTTTACCATCCGAGTATAGAAAACTCAAGAAATATTCGGTGCCCATACAATAACTATTCTATTATGCCTTCACGTTTCCTTTCATTTCGTGTAAAAATTCTAAATAGGATTCTTTTAAATTTTGGTGATAGCAAACGAGATATTCTTTTTTTTCAGAATTATATATTTTTTGGTGTAAGTAAAGCTTCAAAATTATTTCCTCCTTTAATTGATTAAAGTAATAATTAACGCTTACAACACTTGAAAAGTTACTTATTTTGAAGTTCAGTGAAGATACAAAAAGGTTATATCTCTGTCTAATATTTTGTATTAATAATATCAATTATAAGATGAAACCATTCTTCACATATAAGTTTATAGTTAAGGGTCGTGTCCATATTTTTTATAAATGTTGTAACACAAATTAGCCTAATTGTTGATAAAATACCCTTTTGTCTTAAAAAAATATTCAAATTAAGTATACCGTTATAAGTATAACGGCATTAAGTATACCGCAACTTATAAGTGAACTACTCACATACTAAACTTCAAAGACAGGGGGTTCTTGTCTCATGACTTGTGACCCTTAAATGTAAGGTATCGGAAGACAAAGGTCAACTGTCAACAGAATGAAAAATTAAAAAAAAAAACTGTAATATATTTTATCAATTAACGTTAAGATTTTTTATAATTTAAAATCTTAAATTGAATACTCTGCATACAATAAGCTTTTTAGAAATGCATGATATATTTCCCCGCAAATTTTTGAAAAGAAATCAACGTTAAAACATTGAACCGAAGAGATATGAAATAGACATTTTTTAGAGTTGACACTTTGTCGTATTGAAAAAATGTTCCAGATATTAAATGAAGCAAAACTACTGTATTAAATTGAAGTTCCATTATTATATCATCGAAAAACATATTTAGTGTCCGTCAGTAAAACATATTTTGGGTATGCCAATGTTCTACTATTTTCTACAATAATTTTCGCGTTTATCTGATAAGTACTATTGAAAAAAATTAATTATAATTCATCACTTTTATACATAAGTTTAAACTTATTAGTACAATTATAATTGCATTACTATTTAATTCAACTAAGTACATCATGACGATGATACATATCACTCCTAAAATCACTAAATTCTATAGTAACACTAAATTTGGCAAGTTTCCAGAATAGTTTTGTGCCTGATAAAAGAATTTCCCTCTGATGGGTACATGAATTTCAAACTTAAGTCTCGACAGCTAGATTGCGTTCGACGATAGATCGCCGGCTTTACGTAAATTTTATTAAAAAGTCCCCTGCATAATTTTATATAAACTTTATGAACCATTAATATTATATGACTTATATGTACTATATAACACGAGAGATTATAACGAGTTGGGGATTTTAAACGTTCGTAGTGAATTTTAAACTGGAAGAATTTTATGTTGTCATAAAGTTGAGTTCGCTGCGATAAAATGACGAAACAAAATGCTAAGTTGTTGATACAATTATTTTATAATATGCGTGGACATATAACGGATTTAATATATTTATATTAAAAACTTTTATCAAGTTCCCCTTGAATAAGTCGGGAATTTATTTTATATAGAGATATTAAAGTACGTATAAAATCAGTGTTTAAAAAGCAAATTGAATTTCTCTCTGAAATGTACGTTTTTGAGAAAATTACCGATGTAAGCACTAGTTATTCTTAGGATAAGCCAATTTAAAAAATAATGTAAAACATAGGCACTGAGTTTATTCTGTTAATTGGCGTTAAATTTTTTATTTCAAAGTTATTTCTAAATGTTCTCCAATTTTCAAATATTCGAGAAGATTTTGATCATTATTAATGTTTATATTTTTAAAGTTTTCACTTAGTTTTGATTAAATAAAACTTGTAAGAGAATATTTTGCTTTTTAATTAAGTCTGTCTTTTCAACTTAGGCCTTTCTTTATGCAAAATATCAAATACAATGCAAGATCCACCTATCCTTATAATTAAGTGCCGTAAATTCACTTCATATTCATATTCATAGCGCAAAAAGGCTTAAATTACATCGTCTAGAACAAAGGCCTCGATAAATTGCGAATGCTGAAACATTACTAGGGGTTTTTGGCGAACGGCCAGTTGGTAGCGAGTTTGATGCCAGCACAGCTCCTAACGATCACCTGATCTCGAGTTCTAAGCTTTGTTAGGTCCTGTTGCATTGTGATAAATGATCTCTGTCAGACTAAAATAAAGTCCATTTTATATTCTCTGCACATATTTTACCTGCACGTGATCCAGTTACTCGGAAGATCCTTGAATACAATTGTATTAGGATAAAGACTTGCGTTTATGATATGTGACACTCGGCCGTAAATTTCACTAGGGCTTAGCATAAGTGTTCCAGTCATAAAGATTACATGCGATATATTTTTTATCTCAATGAAACCAGTCGTTATAACAGGGTTCATAATGAATAATAAATAAATTATAATTTATTTTGCTTAAGTGCGTAATGTGCGATCTTTTTATCAATAGTCATATAAATAGTGATATTCTGGAAATATAATGCCGGTGGAAAGTAATAAGATAGAGAATGTAATCTTAAAATTTCAGGGAATATTAGCAGTTCAACGTCAACCAAACTTTCAGCTAACTAAGCCAATTCGCTAAAATCTTTCACAAGCGAATTTCCAACTCGGTTAAAACATCGGAAAGTCTAATAAGTCAGACAAATTGCAATTAAGTGGTCCCAGCTTCATTCTGTCGAAATTTAATTTGAGACCCCTGAAAGCCGTGGAATAATGCTACAATTAATACGAGATCTGAAATTGAATTGAATGTAAAGAACTCCTTTACTTTTAGACGGGCATAATTTGACTGATGCCGTAATGTACAGGATATTTCAACCAGTCCAATTACCAAAACCGTTCACAGTTATGCCTCACTGCATTATATTATCGAGGTTTCGAGTTATGGGAGATTATTGGCAATTGGTAATTCAAACACCAAAACTATGTTGAATTTGTTAAAGTTTGCTTTGTGGTTTTGTAAATTGAAGAAGCTATAACAGTAGAATTTAATTAATTTTAAAATATGTAGAATTTAATTATTTAATTTTATCCGCAATATTTTATCATGTCACAATAAATAATTATCATTAAATAGTATGTAGAAACACTAAATATTCGATAAATACATAAAAATCTCATATAGAAATGATTCTTTATATTGTAAACCCCTTTTGGTTGAACTGGACCTTTTCCAAAGCGGAAGGGGCGCCTTCTATATAGCTTCCTTCCCAAGGAGTTGTTTTAAAACCTTCCGATTCAGTGCATCTGGATGTGAGCTCGATTTGGCAGCGATATTACCCATGATGGGTTTAAGTGTATTGAATTTCTATTTGTCGTGTTTTATTGTTTCACGCTTATGGTTTTTCATGTGTATTGGTATTTCTTTGTTTATTTCCGCAGAATATTTCATTTTATTTCGGAACTAGTTAAAGGGAATAAAAGATTGTAATGATAAAATGTCGTTTTGTGTTTGTAATAAATAGTAAAAGAAAATTAAATTAATCTGTATAACAACAATGTAATGTTTCCATAACATCAAAACTAAATTACTCCACCAACCCCTAGGGCTTTAGAGGTGAGATGAATAATTTGAGTCGGTGAAATATTCATATTAATTACAAAATAAATAAATGATGACGCATTCATTTTGGAGCTTGAGTTCACTTGTTCGAAAGTCTGATCTTTTCATTCATGAATAAATAAACTTGCTTTATTTCTCTGTTTAAATTTTTGTGCTACGGAAAGTAAAGTTTTATCAGTATTGAGATTTAATCGTTTATTGAATTATCGATTATTAGGAATAGAAATTTGTACTCTATAACGATATATATATGAACCATTTTTTATTAGTAGATAAATATGTTTTTTTTATAGAGTTGACTTTAGAAACGGCCACCCAGTACATTGGGCGGTAGCTGGAGAGTTCGGGACTCGAACCCACTTCGCTCTCAACGAATCCGATCCTTCATCAGCCCACCTCGCCGTTGACAAGGTGGCTCGCTATGATGAAGGCCTCTACAGATGTAGGATAGACTACGTAGATTCACCGACACGAAATTATAAAGTTAATTTAACTGTCATTGGTAAGTCGCTGATATTATAATAGATAACTTTTCGACACACCTTTTAGGATTTATTTTGACTTTAAAACATACAGACAGTTTATTCCTATTTATATGTTTTTACTACTGTTTATTATCTGATATATTATATATTAGTTTTAATCCAAATTTTTCAAAGAAATAAAGAGTCTTGTGTTTTATAAATACCATTTATTGATAAATAATTTAAAGCAATAACCAATAAATAATTTAAAGCAATACTTTAAAAAATGTCAATATTCGTAAAATAACATAAAATTTTAATGAATAATGTATTTTCTCCATATATATACGTTTAAATTATAGTCTTTAACGTTGAGAAAATCATTTAATTGCTAAGTAAAAAATCTATAAAAACATCTGGACTGTAGTTTATAGTCGTCTTCACTAATGAACTAAGTAAATTATATGAACTTCTGTGCGAAATTGTTTGATGCATATTTAATTTGTAGTGCCTCCGGATCCTCCGCGAATATACGATTCCGAAGGTCGGGAGATTTTAGGAACGACCGTGGGGCCATTCCGGGAGGGACAGGATTTGCTGCTATCCTGTCAAGCATCCGGGGGTAAGTTTATAATCTACATACAATAAAAAAATCTTTATTTTGCAACATTAACATACACAATTTAAATTCCCTCGTACCTCAAAACAAGTGATAGGAAAACTAATAGAATTCTATAATATATTCTAAGGTAAGCCCCCACCCGACGTGTCTTGGTACCGAGGCGAGGAACGACTGGCGATTACTCGGGACGGTAACGTGTGTCAGATACATTTACCTTCACTGTCCCGGGAGATGGCTGGGGTGAAGCTGCAGTGCAAAGTTGAGCCACCGCTGCTGCAACCACAAGTCAGGGACGTCACTATTAAGTTATACTGTAAGTACTTTAAAACACCTTGGTCTTTAAGACCTTTTGACATTTAAAATGTATCTTTTTGGTCGTTAAGGGCTATAAATTGTTAATGAATATATATATTAATAATTATTTAGTTGATGAACATTTCATCACAAACGAATTTATAAACCACTATCCAATATTCAGTTGCATTTTACAATTAAATTTATACATTTATAATTTTACCCCTATGACTTATAAATAATTCCAGTGGTTTCATTTACTCACGGTTATTGTTTATTTAATTTAAATTTTAAAAATAACACATGCTGACGTTGAAAAAGTGCAAATATCTTTAAATTTATTTTGTTACCTATTCGTTATCTGGTAAACAGAATTAAGTCTGACGAAAATTTGATACCTTATTTGTATTTTGTATACTTAAAATTATTATAAGTAGAACACTCGTTTTACAAAATTACAATTATATCTATATAACATAGTCATTTTTAACATGTTTATAGTAAAACCGCAATACATCCGCGTCTCTGGCGGAGGAGCTACGAGGGCAGGTCGAGAGCGTGCATTCTCATGTTCAACTCGAGGATCAAAACCACCTCCTAACATAGACTGGTTCATTAATTCACAAAAGATCGACTCTTCGCTTACACAGGTGAGATTCAGAAAAGTAAATGACTTATGTTGCAGATATTCATTGGCAATTTCGACTACTTTCCATCTGGTAGACCGTCTGCGCGTTTGCCCCTTTGGGCCATATAGGAAAAGACTTATTTCTATTATTTCTAATCAGAGCTCATTTACCGGACGTTTATTAATATATAATATCTAATTAATTGAGACTTATCGTCCCGACAATAATAGCTTTGACTACCTGAGGATCTAGGACATAAAGATGTCATTAATAATGAAAATTTATTAAATAATATCAACAAGAACATGTCACACGTTCGAAATCTGATCATTAATTTTCCAATACATATTATATATTTCAATTTTACGAGTGTATTGCGTTCAGTGTGGTTTAAGTATTAAAAATGAAATAATATTACACAGGTCGAAGTGGACGGCGATGTAACGAAAAGCATATTAACCTGGCGAGTTAGAAGAGAAGACAGCGGCAGGCAGCTAGTCTGTCGAGTGTCGAATCCTTGGTTCCCAGCACATACTTTAGAAGACGCTCTAAATTTAGAAGTTCTATGTAAGTTGTTCATTGTTAACGAACACAATAAATCATTATATCTTATTAAAAACCGCTTAAATACATTTTTATTTTAAAAAATGTGCGAAGATTTAAAATTATATTTTAATTTCATTTTGTGTTCAGACTAACATGAAAAATAGTAAGCTAATTTAATACCGATAAGATTCTAAATTGTTTGAAACTCTCAAGATGCAATATATTTTTACTTGATAGCGACGATGCCAAAGAGGTCTTTGTGTTATGCTTAAGTATTTTATTATACTTGTAAAATGGGTTAATGATTTTAAGTTTGTAATTATGTGTTATACTTTATAATATTTAAAATGTTAGTTATATAAGTTGAAAATTTAAAGGAATTTTACTTTTAACATATATTGCCTTAGAATTTAATATTTTTATCTCTTCTATCCTTGATCTCGGTTGCTGTAAAGTAACCGAAACGTCGAGAAAAATGTAATGTATAAAACGCAAGTAAATCCGTTAATCATAATTCTATGCATAAATTCCTTTGTTTTATTCTTAAATTGAGGTCATTTACAAAATTACAAAATATCATTAAAGTCATAGAAGAAAAGTCAAGTCGGTTGATAAATAAATGTAAAAGTTCCGAAAAACAAGTGGTATTGCCTATTGAGAAGTAATTATTTTTAATAGATAGGATATTCATTAAAATGTCTGCTAGTATTCGTCACCTGGTGTCAGATGTTCGATTGACAATTTTCATTTAAAAAAAACTCGGATTGGAAGTGTTGAAATTCAAACCTCGACGCGTTTGGCTTCATGCCATATAATATTGGCCGACTTGACGAAACTGTTGTGATAGGATCCCCACTTTAAATAATCGAAAAATAATATCAAATTATTAAACAATGAACTCATCTTTCTTTTTCAATGCTTTTTATGATATAATCCAACGTTAATATATTTTGCAATAGTACGCTAGAACTAATAAAACAAAACACTGCAGAGGGATCAGATGAAAATAGTCGCAAGCATATTTTTTATCGCATCCGAAATGAAAACTGAATATAAATTATAAAGAGGAATATTATAAAAACATAATTTGAACGTGTTTCCAAAATGGTGAATTTATAGCCACGTTTTTAATGCAATTTTACTTTATAATTATGGTCGTAACATTTTGGTTTATACATATTTTAATTATGTCGTGCATTTCATGTTCCGAAGCGAATAATAGCATGTCGGCAACTTAAAACATTACTTTATGTTATTTCGCGAAAACCAATTAGAGTGATTTCATAAAGGGTGTACGAATAAACTCGAATATTTGATGAACATATTTTATGAAATAGGAAATAGAATTGTTTAAAAATTATGACTCTATACATTTATGAAGCTTTTAAAAGTGTTATACGTGTTAATTTACTTTTTAAAGGGTAATATTCATTAAATATTTGAAATAATAATGATAGTGATCAGTCAAATATCTTTAACATCAATCTATCGTAATGAGAACGACCAATGTAAAACATCCTCATGGAAAATCACAGCCACAAATAACAAAGCATAAGTTTCTAAAAACCGGCGACTATGCATCAAAAGCAGTGAGATAGCGCGGTTCCGCCACAGCTCTGCCAACTTCCCCACCAACTATCAGAGGACATTATGTTGTGACGTCATTACACTTTAAAACCGAGTTTGGATTCATCTTTCTCTAAAGAACGCTCCACAGAATTTACATAACAAAATATACGTGCAGACAGTTTTGTACCAATTAATATTACAATAATTAATCAGTATTACGGCTTTGTATGGAAAGAGATATTGAATAGTTCATTTATATGCTAATGTGTTCATTGACGTCCCTACAAAAGGATGGATCGCGGATTGTAAATTAATGAATATAATATAATAATATTGTTGTGATAAAAAATATATAAAAACATCGCAGAAAATTTTATAATAATATATTATAACGACATTTAAAAATACAGGTGAATTTCCCTTATTCAAATATGGTAATAAATAACTTTATAATTTGGAAATTCACATATAATATATGTTGAAAAAGTAATTACACACCATACATATATTATTATATGTACTAACGCTTTTCAAACAAAATACTTTAAGATAGCGTCATAAAAATCTAAAATATATTTTGTTTTTATAAAATTGATATAACAAATTTTTAATTTCCGTTGGAACAGTAATCCTCGAATTAATATCATAAGGTGTAGATGTTAAGTAGGTTTATGGCCTCGAGGGGGCTTGTACATGAACTTTTGTGTGACAATGTAAAGTCACTGAGGACTTTGAAACAAGTCGGTAATAAAACGTGTTGTTTTCTATTGGTTACATGAAACACGTGGAGATTTTTTTGTATATTTTATTTGGAGGGCTGAATTTAATTGACTTTAATAAGTGTAATCTGTAATCTAATTACCTAAATTTAATTTTGAAAACTCTCTTATTTGTTTGCATTTTGTCGATGATAAATCTTATCGATAAATTTTGTATTTCTTGGTCGTTGAATGGTTTATAGCGTTTATTTATAATCGGTGAACCAACTTCATGTCTCAAAACTTATTTAGATCATATTAGTTTCTAACAGTTAGAGTAAACATTATTCCTCTAGTTTATCGTGTCTTAATTCTCATCACATAACAGAACTGGGACTGTACTTTAAAACATATGTAATACTTATTAAAGTTAATATATACTAGGCTTGCATCTCGTAACGAGGTTTTATGCGTTGTGAGTCCAATTCAGAGGACGTTACGCTTTGCTCGGAAACTTCGTAGTAATTTTCTCGCGGGTATTTTTCGGAAGATTGTGTCAACAGCAATTTTGTTATACAACTTGATGGTTTCAAAAGCGACTATTAAAATTACATTTATTAGAGCCTTTGTAATTATTATTTAAATTATGAAGTATTTAAAATAAAATTAAGTTTTAAATGTAACTAATATTTTTTCTAATAGACGCGTATTTTATGACTATAAAACATATTCCTTTCGTTTCGGCTCCTTTTCAGCAACCTTGATAGAAGAACGGATGATATGGGAAATGAAATGAAATGAACGGTTGATATGGGAAAATATTGAACGAAATTACAGGATTTTTTACCAAGGACTACTTTCTTAATACTGTTTCTTTTGTTATGTGTAAATCAAGTCTATATTTGAGTATCTCATATTTAAAGAGAAATTTCTTATTTCATATAAAGTATTCAATTCATGTATAAATATTTTTCTTTTATTATCATTGTTTATTTAATTAGTCAATCAATATCAAATGACAGTAACTCTGTATACTTAGATTGTCTATAGTATGCATGTCTGAATGCAAAATTGTATATGTTCATTCAGATTCGGAAAAGCTTTAACTTGTACAAGAAGAACAACCCGACAAGCAAATAAAATTCTACTTCAATGGAACATATTTTTCCATTGAAGACCTAAAACATTTCCAGCTACCAACCAATGTAACACACTCAATAAAATAGCTCCGTTACCAACAAAGCCTTCTAAACTGAAATACGTTATGAATTACATTTCAATCGTGAATTTACTTTATTGAATCAATTGTCAAATTTCAATATTTTTTCAGGCAGATGAAAAATTTATGTCCTTTTGTAGACTCTCAACTAAAGGAAAAAAGAGTTTAATACAAAAAATATGTGTTATATTACAATAAAAACACTTAGTAATTTAACGATAAAATAATGACGAACCATAATTCTGTTTTGTAATTTAAGAGTAACTTTCATTGTTAATTATGTTTATTCATGTAAAAAATTGTGAAATCGTATACTTTTTTGACTTATTCCTTGAAAATAAAAGTTATCCCTTTAATTCAAAAGAGAGTCAGCGAATTACATAGTTGCGGTAAGTTGGGAGAAAAGTTTTAATTCCAAGGAGCGGTACTCGTTTCACAGACTCTAGTCCTACATTCCTCTGTGCGTACATTGAAGCTACGAACTAATTCAATTATGTAGTAAACAAAAAATAAAATCACTTAGTTACCCCGCTATTGGTCCGGTCAGCGGTTTTACTTTTATCGAACGAATCTTTTTAAGTGCCCCGGTGATTTAACGTTACACTAAATTACGATTCAATTCTTGGTTGTTATGTTTTATTGCAGGAATATAACTAGTAAAAGGTCAACTTTTTTTATTGTAATTTTAACGACCTCTTGTTAATCGAAATATTGTTTTTACTTTTTATTAAACAATAGGTATTTTTTTATTATTTTTGTTCGTACAGACTAATCTATTTTTATATATAAATTTATGGGTTACTTCTGCTGTATAAACTCGTAATATTAATAATGAAGATTCTGATATTGGTTGACCACATAAAAATAGAACAGTTTATCACAAATACATTCGCCAAAGACAAAGTTCGTTGCCATTAAATAAAATTGAATAAACTCTAATTACTTATGTCAATATTAACTTCACCGTTGTAAATATCCGAAATTGATTTATGTGAATTTTGCAACATGAGTTTAAGCGTTGATGATATAAAATTCACAATATAAATTGACTCGAACGTTTTTTCGATACGAGTCTCAACTGTGACATATTAAAAAGACTTATTCATATGTAACAGTTAAAAACCATAATTGAAAACGATATCAGCGGATGGAACTTCTCCTCGATACATTCTCGTCATTTTTATTCTGTAAATGTTTAAAATGAACTGTTGATTTTATTTTTTAATTGGATGATTTATTCAACATGTAGCTTGTATTTTAGTTGTAAAAATTTTTGATCGAATGTTGGTACAAAATTTGATAAACTATATTTTGTGATTGAATGAAACAAAAAACATTTGCCAACGTACTTATATTACGCTTTTACAATATAAAATTAAAAACATGAGTAATTTTGTTAAATATCAAATATACCTCAATAGAGTGAACTAAATGTGGTTTAATGGATACTTTAAATTGCAATACATTTTTAATGGTTGTGGTTTTAAAAATTCATTATATTTTTAGTCATAAACTTCAATATATATTTTATTAATTGTTAAACTTATTTTAGATCCTCCGATATCACAAATATCATTAGTAGAACCGAAGGAGCCGCGTCTTTTGAGAGAAGATGAAGATGCTGTTCTGCTATGCTCAGCAGACTCATCGCCACCAGCTTATAATTTCACCTTTTATAAGGGTACAGAGGTGAGGAAAATTATATAAATAGTTATAATGACGTCATATAATTTGCTATGAATATAAGGAACACAAAAATAAATCGGACTTCTAATGACTTTGTTTCATGAATAACCGTCCACAAAATAGGCATTTATTATTCTATTTCATTTATCACGACTATTCTAAACGAAGCTAAAAGATAAATAAAAGTATTGATATGTTTGTTGTTCTGACTTTATAGGAACTGTTCTGTATCCGACATAACTCACTAACTGAGAATTTTTATTGGATCATCTGACGCGTTAAAGTTTATATAAACGTAGGGTTTTAGAACGAGAACGAAAAGAACTATTATTTACCATATCAGTCCATTTCACTATATATATTATAAAGTATCGCTTTAAGAATATACATTTCGATATTATACTAAAATAATTCAAGAAAGGTAACTTATTACAAATGCAATAAGTTACTTGGTGCTCGGAAAATTTTATAGGTATAATTAATTAGGTAAAGCAAGCCTGACTTCGGTATAATGAAGTTTGTTTAGGTACTAACATAACATCGCTTGCTTGTAAACTCGTGAATGTAATGTACAGAAGTTAATAAAGTCCTTACTTGTGTTTGCTTTACGAAGAAATTCGTTCTGCTTGGGATTAATGTCATAATATGATTTTGAGTCGACTTGGAGCTTCGTATTAAACAAGACGTGTAATAATGTAATTTATTAATGTATATTATATCAAACTGATAACAATTTAAGTAGTTCACCGATATTACTTAAAATTTTCATACATTTTAAGAATTGAAAACCTGTGTTGAAAACAAATTGAGGTAAAATAACTTCATGTTGCTATAAAATTAGAGACGAAACCTCTTAGCATTCAATGGATTCACCGTGAGGGTGCCGGGTAAAATATATGAAAACGGTTATTATAAAATGAAAAAAGATCCAATAATGACATATTTCATAACAGAAACATATTAAAAAAAAGTTAACTCTAATTAATAACATCCATTGTCTATATCATGGTTACGTTTAAAACACTTCTATTTGTCGTAAAGACAAGTATTATAAACACAATGTAGGCTAATTAAAGACACCGTTATTAAATTCCTGCCACTTTATTATTAGTATACGCTCATGGTTCGTATTACCCATTAGCCAACAGCTCTCTGCGTGTTGCTTCACAACTTCTTTAATATTAAAATTGTGTATTATCTTTAAAAGGCATTTCACGCAAATTGAAACTTAAGTTGATCGTAATTTCAATGTAGCGTGACGCCATGTGACAGGCAATCAGACCTTAATTAATATTTCAGGTACATTAGTTATTGGTGGAAAGAAACAACTTCATAATAAAACCATTGCTAGTATTAAATTAGTTTTTAAGCTGTGTAAATCACTTCGGGATTTATGTGTATGGGATACGCGTGTGACGTCATCCGCGACGGTTTAGAACCAATAAAGTACAGAATAATTTATTTAACTGTAAATTCAGTTAAATTTAACTAAACGTGTAAATTAGTTTCGATACTTCAGTGCTTTATATTTGACACAATTAAAGCAGCAATTAAAATATATGTTTTTTCATAATTGATATAAGTAAGTATTTCAAAAACGAAATGAATTTTTGGAAAATGGAATAAAATTCTCAATAATAATTTTATGCAGTAGATATTTTCTCGTCATAACTGAATATTATTTGAATTCTATATTTTTAATGAATATTCAAAATAAATGTAAATTATTTATTGTATTAAAAGGACCACCTTTTACGAGACGATCCGATAGGTGGTATATCAGTGGAAGGAAACAAATTAGTTCTGCGAGGACTGAGGAGACATCACTCAGCCAGATACCGCTGTCGAGCTTGGAATTCAGAGGGCAGTGGTCTCAGTGAACCGCTGGCTATAAATATTTTATGTTAGTATAGATATTATTCATATAATGTTTGTATAAATTATAGAAGGGCTAGTTAGTCTCGAGGAACTTAACATAATTAAAAAAAGTGGAATACTATTTGAAGATGTACAAGTAAACTAATTTGAGCCTGTCGTTGAAGACACTTCATGCGGTTATTTAAAAATTCTTACACCAAATAGAAATACAACTAAAGACTTCTATCTTTTTTCTTTCTTCAACCTAAATATCTATTGAGAAAAATATGTTTTTTAGAAAAGTTTTTCCATTATAACAAAAAAATATTTTTGTTCTACTTATATTTATCTATTTTCTAATACATGTAGCCCGTCCTGAATGCTCGGCTGGTAGTGTTGTCCAACAATTAGCTGCAGCTCCCGAGGGTGAAGTACGAGCTCGCTGTTCAGTCTCCGCTCCTTCACCACGAGACGCCGGGCCTTTGAGGTTCTACTGGACCTACAATGGGACCAAGGACGTTTTACCTGTACGTATCGTGGGATATCCTCTATGTATCATAAAAAATGCTCTATAATATAAAGGTAGCTGAACGATTTTATTCATAATAGCTCTGCTTATATAAATGTATAGATATTTGATTCGTAACTTAGTTATCTGAATTCTGATTTCTGAAACGTCATCAACTTTTCTGGATACTTTAGTATGATTTATTTATCTATGCAGATTCCAGCATCTAATGTCACGGTAATGGGATCATCAAGCACAGTTGTCCATGGCTTGTCTTCATTAGATGACGATGAAGATTTAGGTTGGTTGGCTTGCTGGGCCAGCAATGATATAGGAAACCAAAGAGAACCTTGCTTATTCAGGATAATGCCAGCAGGTTGGCCGTTTTTATATAAATTTTATTGTTTGTAATTAATTAATATGTGAATTTAATTTAACAGGCTACTTTTTATATTCTTTGTACGTTCATATTTATTTTGTACTAGCTTTCCGCCCGCAGCTTCGCCCGCATGCAGTTCGGTTATATTGCGTTTCGAAGAGAACCTTTCAAAAATCTGGGATAAAAACTATCCTATGTTCTTTCTCAAGGTCAACTCTATATCTCTACCTAATTTCATTAAAATCAGTTCAGTGGTTTAGGCGTGAAAGCGTAACAGACAGATAGACAGACAGACAGAGTTACTTTCGCATTTATAATATTAGTAGAGATATTGTCCGAAACTGTATGTGTATTAATATATTTTTAGTATCTATAGATAATTGAAGTTGTATTGTAATCGACATATTTGACGTAAAAGTTTAATTCAAATACTTCCTTTTGCATGGTGGTAATTAAAGTTATCGTCTAATTAGTGTATTTTGTATTAATTGTTATTTTATAGTAACATAATCTTTCCCATTTGCAAATATCATTCCTTTTTGTATTTTTTTAAAGTGTTCAATTTCGTTTCAGTGTTAACACGTGTTTCATTGTTTTTCTATTCTAACGGAAAATATGTCTATATCACGATTTGACATTTACTGGACTATGTTCTTTTTTTCATTGACAGTTTAGTTTTTTCTCATAAAATATTAATTAGAATCTAGATTTATCATGCTTAAATCAAATTTTAGCAAAATTTGTAGGGATGTTCGTTTGTATTCACTTTGGGTGTTATAAAATAATTTAAATCCCTTCTCATGTCAAGTTTTAATTCAAAAATGAGTTTAATTTCTATGAAGTCAAAATAGGAATAATTGCTAATATAGATTTCTTACACAGCTTTGCCGGAACCTCCTCGAGATTGCACCATAGAAAATGAGTTTCTGCGCTGTCTCGCTGGACATGATGGTGGGCTACCACAGCGTTTTCTGCTTGAAGCCCTTGAGGTGCGACGCGAGCCCGTTCGAGATGAATCAACTATGAATGATCAGGTTTGCTTATGAGTTAGGTTAAAATGTAAAACATGAATATATTTCACGTTCTTTTAAAATAAAGGATTTTCTTAAACAATGTGAATCTAGTTGTATGTCTGTCAAATAAAATGGAAGTGTATTTTATAGGGCATCTCAGGACGTGGTCTGACTGAAGCCGTGTACAGAGCCAGTAACGACGTAACTCCACAGTTCGCGTTAGATGCGTTATCTCCAGGACGATACACATTCCTAGTATACTCTGAGACACCTCGTGGGAGATCTCAGCATCCAGCAGCGTTACATAGTATACCAATTAGGACTTCTGATGATTTGGATGTTCCAGGTAATTACCTAAAACGATTATCAAAAAGAATCCATGAAATCCATACTTGTCTTTTATGTCTTTTAATTGTTATTATAACTTCTTAGGCTCCCTACAAACGATGACACCAGCTCCACCAATGGTTCCACAAACTGATAATAGCATAGCTCTCCTAGTTGGAGCGGTGCTGTCTCTCATCCTCGTCACCATATTGACCACATTATGCGTAACTTTGGTCATCGTATGCAAGAAGAAGCAACGTCCTCAAAGGGATCCTGAACAAAAGTAAGTAAATTTAACTCGATGCTATCTTTTCTGCTCATAAAAAAAATCCATGTATGTTCTTATGTAGCATTGAATAAAAATAAGCTGTGCTCAAATATATGTATTATGTTATACTTATCGGTTTTCCATTTCTTTAAATGTCGATTCATTGAGTATACAGAGTGATTGAAATGAGTGTGCGAGCGGGATCAAACACTTCTGTTAAGTAACAAAACAACACCTTCTTTCCCAGATATCTCTGCTTACATTTAGAATGTAAAAGATAATTGGTTTGTTACTATTTCCTTCTTAATCACTCGCTTAATCCTCTTGTTTATAATGAGATATGTTATTCAAAGATCAAAGCTACTTTACTCCCATGATATATTTTAGAAATGACAGCATAAAGTCAATACATAGAAAATGTGTTGGGGAAACAAAATCTTATTATAGATGTCTATTTATCGTTGGTACATTATAATTTGAATTCCAGCACGATTCTCCGTAGAAGTGTTGGCGTGTCTATGTACGGTGGGTCATCATTATCACAGAGTGTGATGCCCACTGTGGTAGTGAGAGGTCATCGTGGTTCGCGTGTGCTAGCTGCGCGTTGGTCCGGAGTGATCAGTGATGCGCCGCTGGCTGTACTCGCACTCGACGACACTCCGAATGGTAAAGAGGACTTATAATATCAATGGTAAATGAAACTAATATTTTTCGGATTATACTACGCGTATTTTATTATTCAAAAATCTATATACTGCCGAAATTTCGGTTACTTTTCAGCAACCGTGATAATGGCCAGACGGGATGAATAAAATATAATCCGGAAAAAATTAGTTTCATTTGAATAAATACTTACTGACGAAAGTCTTAAATCTCATTAAAAACAATAGTTTCAATAAATATAAAAATAAAAATGAGTCTATCCATTTTACGACTTTCAATAGTACATTACTTTTTTATAATAGTATAGATTCTAGTGAATATAAAGCATATTTTTGTTTAGGCCATTTTAATTTTGTCCTACTACTTCCTAAATTAAAGTAATTATTTCAAATCTTTTCTGTAGTGTTATGATACTTTCCAAGATATTCCACTATGTTCATTATTAGTGTGATAAATTTAATATAAATGATGTTAAAATAACCTTTATGAATGATTAATAAACTTTCGTTTTTCAGTCGAAACAGATTCATCTCACAGTAATGAGATACAGGAAACATCGCTGACTGGACCACATATAGACACGTAGATACACGACACTTAATGTATTAATAATAGTTTTATATGTAGTTATAATAAAAAATCGTGGTTGTAACTTTCAACAAATATATATGTGATATAACAAATGACTTTATATATGATACGAAGGCTGTACTTGCTTGTCAGAAAGGTTTAAGAAATTGATAATAGACGTGAGCGTGCATGCAGTATTATTTAGTGATAGTTACTTATAAATAATTAATTAATGATATTTATATGAGAATAGGTAAGAATCGTGTTTCGAATTTCCATTGTGTAGAGACGATTAGATTTGTTTGTCTTGCACCAGTATATTAACAAATGTTCATACGGGTATAACTATAGTTATTGACTATTGTATTTATATAAAGTTTAAATGTAGGAAATTAAGATTTCAAAACATGCTGTAACTCACCGATAGTAGCTTTACATTAGCTTATTCACATTTTTGTATAATTTTAGCTAAAGAATTGTAATTATTAATCTGATAATCTTTTAAATAATATTACTTGCTTTGATCTGAAGTATGCATTATATAAGGAAAGCAAAATTAATATACGATTTACTTTGTGATGTCAAGTAAAATTAGTGTTAAATAGAGGACGTTTCTTTGTCAAAATGTTGTATTTGTGAACGTTAAAGAAATTACGTAATATATTATATTTCATTGCTAAGTAAGTATTGTCTTCAAATTATTAGCCATATTTTGTTGTTATTTATAAAAATATGTATACAAATATAAATAAAAGAAACAATTCGAAATCAATTACATCAAAAAGAAAATAATTCGTTCATACGTTTGTTAAAATTTAATTTAGAAGCTGAAATAATTAAAGAGAAGCAAAATTTTTTCCTTAACCTTTATTAAGACTTAACGAGTAGTAACATTTAAATAAATGTATACGTTTTAGTATTACATTTTCATGTAAATTAAATAAACGATTATTTTATCAATAATCTGTTTTATTTCATATTTAACCATTATATATATTATGTATATGTATATATTAATTAAGTTATCTTGCTCGTTTGACCAGGCACGATATCTTAATTGGTAAAGCAACTGAAACGAGATATTCCCAAGTTTAAATCCTACTCGTCCCACCTCAATATTCCCATAACAAACAAAGATTATCTAGAAGATATAAATTTGTAGTGTTCAATACATTTTACATAAAAATAGAATATATTAATAAAGTCATATCAATACTGTTCAAATTAAACCATTACAAAATCTGTGAATAAATATTATATCATAAAATTGGAGAGCTATAAATACGAGATTGAAATGAAATTCACCATTTCAATACTTCAACGATGTTACCTAATTGAATGTTAGCATAATTATGATCGATGATAAACAAGAATTGAGCGAAAGCTGAGTTTATTTAATTTTACATTTCATGAGTGGATTTTACAACAAAACTTTGAAACTCGTTTAACTAGACATTCGCCTGACATTAATTGGTTATAACTCACTTCAATGATTGGGCACAAAATTCACATAACACTTACGCAGCGCTTATTATCATCATAACAAAATTAATTTGTAATCCCACTGTACGGACATATCATTTTAAAAATGGTTTTAAAAGGTTTTTTGTTATAATATAAATTAGATTTTTCACGATCTATATCAAGTTTCTACTTGAACATCGAACACCATTAAGAATATTACAGTAGCAACTTTTGAATCCGTTTTGTGTCAAACCCGGTTACACCCAGCTCGTCTGATTAAATTCTATTACGGATTCTACATAAATTTTCATATGAGGCAATCGAGTTATTGAGACCTAACACGATTTATGTGAAAGCATATACTTAATTCGTACGTATGTGTTTTCATATCAAATATTACAACGTCGTTCCAGCTAAAATACGATATGGAGCGCAATTTTATGGAGTAATTTAATTCTGCCTCTAAATATGTATACACAATTTCTTGTAATTTGCGAAAATTATGTTGTATATTTTGTGTCCGCGACTTTGTGTGAGTGGATGTTGATGGAAAAAAATAATTTGTCAAAAATATGAAGACTTCTTCATTTTGGATTAAAATTATTTAACCAATATAGCATCATAACTTACGAAATTGTCAAATAAACCTCTGATGTCATGTATTATCTAATAAAATATAAGCATTTTAACATCAAGTAAGTCCAATCTGTAGTTCTGCGGGAAAAATACTATTTTATTTGAACCATGCGGTGTCAATTAAAAACCTCCAAGTCATGCCCAGCAGCTAGAACAAAACAAATGTTATTAACTAGTAAATCAAGCAATTTCAGTTTTAGAAGTTGTTTTTCTGAAGTTCTGTTTTCTGGCACACATTACAAGACCGTAAATCAAGTTTTAAATCTTTAGCGGCGGAACTTCTCAGCTAAATATGTAGCATTTGTTCCCCTTTTAAGTTACTGCATTAAGCTGCGCCATTAACTTAGTTTAATCAAGAATTGTAAGTAATATTTATTTCTTTTTAACAAATATATTTTCGACTTCATAAATTTATCTTGTTAGGCCAAAAATTAATTATATCGATGAAATAATACAAGCTTAAAAGATGAGATCCATTACTTTTAATAATACGAGTAATGAAACACTATATAAATATTTTCTGTTTTTTTTCCACAATATAAAAACTAGATTTCGCTGTCGCTGGCGTTTAATTACTTTATTTGGTCTCATAGGAACGAACATTGTAAGTCGTATACACACATATTTTTCAATTTGAAGTTGCAGCATAGGATTTTAAACTAGGCAACGTGTTTAAACTAAAACCTAATTCATATAACACTCAAACATGTCTGATCAATACAGTTTAAAATTCAGCAATAAAGAGAATACGTTAAGTTGATACAGTAAAGTGGATGCAACAATATGAGCAGTGCAGCTTAAGTGTGCCCGCAGTAAAACTCTACCGTTACTGTTTGTTTAGTGCCATACTCTACGTTTCATATAGCCTGCGCTAGTTGTCACTGTAGAGTAGCTACATTTGAAGAGCTTATGATACAATAAATTATGTAAATGAAATTGTATTCTTATAGTATTGAATGGTTTGTCCGGATGTATGTATGTTGATTTAATTTTTTCTAACTACATAATAACATTGGAATATAAGGGAGAGTTATAAAATATTTGTTGGGTTATGTTTTATTATACAAAAGCATATTGTAATAATATGTTAGTATTTATTTTTATTTAAAAAATATTTAATTTATCTAGTACAACTGTGTGAACTGTGTAATTGACTCCAATCAAAATACCTTTTCTTTTAGAAAATAAATTAATATTTATAAATCATAGTAATGAATATTAAAAAGATGAAACGTTGGCTATTATTCAACAATATTTTTTTTAAATAGAATACCTGATAATACATATATGTACTAGTTGAGGTACTTATCGTAAAAATGTATGTTAACTAATATATTTTTGTAAAAGAATGTTTGCCTCTAATTAAATATAACCTGTACTCTCGATATAGACAAAGTAAGTTTAGAGGTAAATGAAATGAACGGTGCAGAATACCTGTCAAGTGCAACCTTCCGTCATATTCTCTCCTCATGTCGTGTGTTCAGTCATGCGATTTTATTCTTTCATTTTATTACTGGGCCTATTCTGAAATAGATTTCTGTTTATTTATTATAAGATTTATGACATTCCTTCCATTTCCTTAATATGATTTTAGAGGAAGGTGTATAGTTTTTTAATCTAAAAATAAGTTTCGCCTTTGAGCTGCTTTATTCTAAATAATCGCAGTCAGACCTCGCAGAAGACTGTCTTGATAAATGTTACTACCGTCATATTTTGCTTCCCTCTCAAATATTTACTTAGTTTAAGATTAACTTCACTTTGTTATATTAAATGGAACGCAAATTTGTTTTCTTATTCCTTTATTAATATCAGAATATACCTATCATAAAAGAATATTTGTAAGTTATTTGGTAATTTCATCTTTAAACGGATATTTTTATGGGTCTTGTGCAAAATATTCTGTGTCTAGATAAAACTACCCTCGTCATAAAACTGTTATAAAAATCAGCATAAACCTCGAAAAATCCCATTGTCCATACACTGTGAAGTTATCATGAGGGCATGGACATATTAATAATGCTTTATAAACCATTAAAGGGCTTGCATAAACCATCTTCAAAGTTATTAACTTTAGATTGCAATAAACTAAAGTGCGCCATACTTTTATAGCGGAATTAGGGAACGTTATACAGTGGGGCCAAAGCAAATAATGTGCATTGTTCTATTCAAGCAAATTGATATCGTATTGCTTTGAGATAGAGGTGTTAGTGATGGAAATCATTTAAGTTGGCGTATCGTGTTTATGGTAAGGTTTAGTAGGGAAATATTCCTTTTTTACGATGTAAGAATGGCCGAGGCTTACGTATGGAGACGGTTATTAATGTTGTTTATTTAGTATCGAGTGAAGGGT